TGAGTGGAATGATGAGAATCATCATTCCACTCAGCTCTGTCGCAGACCAAATGGCACAGTCGCGCAATAGAGTGGTGTGACCAAATTTCTATTGTCGAACTAACGATCGGTACGGAAAACAATTTTCAGCTTTTAAGCCACGTTTATGAAGTGTATCTAGGCCGATTAAGTCCATAGCAGTGCCCCTCTCTCTCGCTCTTTCCTTAGGGGCAGTCTTTTCTTTTCTGGAAAAGGTGGAGGTATTCAAGGAAGACTGCTGGAGCCTGGAAAGATACAGGGAGATGGAATGTGTGAAAGGTGATCGTTTCAGAAGAGGCGATTCTGGAGAGAGGAGGGGAGGGTCGTCTTTGCAAAAAAAAAAATTCCGACGTCAGAACTGCGATCAGTTTGCGGTATCGCTGGGAAACTTCTCACCGTGAATGAAAAGCTGCAACAACCTAATAGATAATCAATAAATGCATTTCAGAAATTGCTATTGATTGATTCGTTGAACTCAAGGATACGTTGACACTGCGTAAATCAACCAACCTGAATTGCAGACAGCGACTGATTTCTTTTTGCAAATGTTGTATTTCGCTCGATGAGTTTTGAAGGAGTAGGTACTTCGCTTCTACCTAGATTGCACTAGATCTTCCGGAAACCTTTTAAAAGCAGACTTGGATAAGGCTGCGTTCAGACTTCGTGATGGCAGTGCTTCGGTCGCGCGTTCGACGCGATTCGACGCAGTTTAAAGCATGCGCATCGATCGCGTCGGACGCGCGACGGAACCGCTGGCTCGCAAAGTCTGAACGCTGCCTAGGAATTTTCACATGATCGGTATTGAAAGGATCTCACCTGCTCAAGCTGCGCACTCGTTTCAGAGCGAAGCTGTGCCGTCGCGTAGTGTGCAATTCTTGAACATCTGCGCATTTGGATAATATTGAGCAGAACGCTCGAGCTACAAGGCTGAAATGCTCTACAACAGGTTGCTATATGAACACTAAAAAATATATCATGCGCATACAGAAGTAAGATTGCGTTCATACTTCGCGACGCGGTCGCTCAAAGCGCGTGGCTCTAGCGATACATGCGATGGGCACCAGCGATCGATTGACACCAACGGTGCATGGCTGATGCCGACTGCGTGAGGCATGCGAAGCTCGCGATCGGTAGCAACCGTACGCAATCGGTGCCAACCGGGCGCTGGTGCCTATAGCTCGGATCGCGAAGCATCAATGCGGACTGAGACCATTACGAAGGGCGTACGTACGTATAGAGTTTCGCCTATTTCGTGAAGACACTTCCAATAATAACAAAAGTTATTGCTCACCTCGGTATCCCCGTCTATGAATTTTTGCAGAACAGCTCTCAATTTTGCCGACTCTTGCAAAAAACGTTTTTCGAGCTCAGCGTGAGTCGTTGAACGGGCTATTTCATCTTCCAATCTGTACAATTCCTTAACAGAACGTAGTAGTAAGGCAAATGTATCAGTGTCGATCAATATTAACCATTTGGCTCCCACCATCATAAACACCAATACAAGGACCCTATTTTGCGGGTTACAAGGCGCATTATGGTCGCGACACAACGCAAGCGAAAAGTTTCCAAACGTAATTACTGTTTTTGAGGAATTTTTTGCATATTCTATTCTTCTAATTGCCTATAAAACATTTATCTTTTCAAGTGACTCAGATGGAATGAGCACACAAAAAATATACTTCCAGGTGAACAACGCTTGGCCATCTTTCAGTGCTTCATGGCATGAACTACAGTTTCTAGTGCTTAAGGCTGTTGACGACACTGGGTAAAAATTAGCTAACCGCCATTATCACACAGACAAAAATGGCAATGAGAAGCAGATCTCAAAAAGAGATCTCAACATTACAATGGCGCAGCAATTTTGGCTCGTTGTAGTCGTCACCAATAGCTAGAATTCACGTCGCTCAGCAATAGCAATTCTGCGCTAGAAGGACTGGACTCGTTCAATTCTGAGAGACATTCTGAATTTGCGACGCTTTGTCCACTTTTTTCCTCCAAGGCCAGTCATTTACCACATAGGAACTCAAAAAGAGTTTGATCCCATGTACTTTATTTCAAGTTCGCTGCAATCAAAGTGGAACTTGCTGTACTCGCTTTTCGATCGGGAATAAGATTTGAAAAAAGCTGTAGATGAAGGAAAATCATATATGTTATAAGAAGTGCTAGAAATTCTGATATACCTGTACATCGACAACTCACCGATGGTTCGATGATAGGTGCAGACGATTCGACCCCCTTTGATTTTCTGGCCGCTGGAGACTTGTCCACAGAAGTTCCGACCTTCTTGCCTATCATCCCAGCTGCTGTAATTAGATGATGAGCGGTTTACTCGAAATCAGTATAAACGCTCTAAAAATTGTTCATGCTCCATACGTTCTGGAGGACAGCTTCCGCGATTATCCGACGTGCACTTTGTTCCGCAAGTTAGCGCATTCACGGCTGGGTACATTTCGCGGCTTGAAAATGCTTGGTAAAAGCGCACAGCTAAGCAGCTATAACATACAGCGTGTTCGTTGTGAGATTGAGGGGTACCACGGGGACTGGACTTGGGTGCAAGGCCAACCCATCCTCACCAGCTATTGA